TGCGTCGTGTACTTCTCTAATATATATTGATAGTATCGTTCACAAAATTTGCTGAAATACATCAGAAAGTAAGACAAATGATATCATCTTATTCCACACCTTTCATGATCTACTCCGTGGATAGGGGACTTTTATGAAGAACAACTGAAAAAAACAGGTAATCATTACAATACACCACGAGGTTCTGGACCAAAATAAACACCACCACAAAGAATAGATAACTATTAATACACTGAATAAGATTCAAGAAAGGAGGAAAAAGAAAGCAGCAATCAATGCCGGCTGAACAAGAGCAGAAAAAGACAAAGGTGAAGCTGAATACACAGAAGTTAACAAGCAGGTGAAGAGAAGCATCAGAACCGACAAACATCAATACGTGGAGTATCTATCAATAACGGCGGAAAATGCAGCAATAGAAGGAAACATGAGACAATCGTCTGACTTACCAAATAAACTAGCAAAAATTATCGGAAACCAGAACGACTCATGAAACGCTAGGGGATCAAAGTAGTCAACAAGATCGAAGTACAGCCAACTCTTCAAAGAACTCGCGAATTGACTAGCTTCACTGAACACACACGAGATCGAAGTAGCATCCGCGGAACTCCTAATGAATGTCGAACAACCAACAATCGGAGAGATCAATATGGTCGTCAATGTAGTAAGTGTTACGTTCAAGCTTTTGCTTGTTCCCGTTATTGAAGTACGGTTCATCGATCTATTTGCAATTTACGAACGCAAAGTAACAATGCAAGCAAACAAAAATTTAGGTACCAATGTTTATTCATGATTTAGAAATAGTCTGCCCAAATGTCCTCCAACTTCGTACGTTCCCTCAGCAAACAGTACGAAATGCCGAACGAAAGGCAAATAGAAATAAAAATGTCCAAAATAATGATATAAAGAAGCAATTTCGGAAGTTCAGTAAAACAAGTACATTCAAAAACACATTGAAGTTGATATTATTGAGTACAAAGTTTTTTATTCAGCCAAATGTCTGCAGTTCTGCCGTAACCGTATGAATAACTCATTAACTAAGCATCATTTGAATCAGCTAATTCGCCTGAATAGAAATAAGGATTTGATCGTGAGTAAGTCTGACAAATGAGCTGGTGTGGCAACACGTGATCGTCATGAATATTTTGATAACTTGAAGTTAATCCTGTAGGATGATACTAAAGTTTGCCTCAGTTAGGGACAAATAGTCAGTGTATTGCAAGTTGAATAAGAGACAAAGTAAGTTGTTTAAAGTCCTAAGAATGTGGAGATAAAAACGTCAGACCTGATTGATCACAGATGTTCAATTCGTTTTACGTGGTGCCTCGTGTGTCCAGTTCAGTTTCAACAATGAAATGTATATACACTCCGATGGTGTTGCGATGGTATTTTCATTGTGGCCAGCTTGTGCCGATTATGAAGTGTTAAATTGAACAGGTTTATAAGTGAAATCGGATTGTGAAATAATTAATAATTAGAATAAATATGGTCAACCTGGTATGAGGTTTAGTTAGAGAATAATGCAATTCCAAATAGAAAATTGTGTGTTATGAATAGTAATATAACTTTATGGACGAGTGAGCATAATTGAATCGGTGAAATGTTTCTACCAAGCTTTTATAGCCAGTCCAAAGTATAAACGTGTCGTTCATGTATCGGCAGTAATAAGGAAACTAGTCAAACTGTTGCGCCAATTGACCATTTTGTAGTTTAGATGGAAAAATGTCGGTGAGTTCTTCAATAGCCTCCTTGCGATTTTTTCCCCTCAGTAGATAAATCAACTATAATTACACTGATAGCAACATCTCAACCATATTGTTACAGACACGTTGTCCTTGTTCAAACTACGCAACATAATACTACAGTATGCTAACCGATGTTATTAAAAATCCTGAAGGTGTTGGATTAATAATTTTAAAGCTAATTGATCGCATCCGTCCAACGCGATTTATGTGATAAATTTAGTGTCCAGTGCGGTTGTAACTAGGAAATATATAGAAAAGGAGATGAGTTTGTAATAAGGTCTCAATTGAGTCTAGGTTAAGCCCATTATGAAGTGTCAAATTGAATCAGATTATAAGTGAAATCAAATTATGAAATAAATAATGATCAGAATAAATATAGTCAACATGGCGTAAGGGGGAGACAGAGGGGGAATAGTGTAATTATTTAGTCACTTCCTAACGCCTGTAACCCTCAATATTTCATAGGCCGCCAACCACTCTGCCCTGAACTATACTTTCCAGTCCTTTCCAATTTTTGTTCTTTCTTCTCATGTCTGTCTCCATTTCTCGGCGCAATGTGTTCTTTGGTTATGTAGAATAATATAAATATGATAGACGGGTGAACGTCATTGAATCGCCCATGTGATTCTATCAAGACAGTATGGTCATTACAAATAATAAACGCATCCTCCATACTTCGCCAGTAAATTGAGAACCTGTCAGTTGCTTGTGAAATTGGATCCTTTCAAAGTTTAGAGGGAAAAGTGTCTGCAAATATGAGACCATAATGTGAACAAGTCGCGACACAATCTATTTGCTTCGAGACAATAAGCAATGATACTGTGACCTATAAACCCTACATTTTTGAAATCCATTCAATTGGAATAATCCGAGTTCATCATTACAGTGTTCATCATTGGTAAACATAATCAATCATCTAATAGATCAAGAAGTCAATGTGGTTCATGTTGAAACGACACTTTGTATCATCCGTAATAAAAGAATTAAATATTTTCAGATTATTCGAAGATTCATGTGGTGTGTTTTTCACTTCATACGTATCGCACCATCTCAAGCGAGCTGTTTAGATTGAGAAACAACAATAATATGTGTAACGGATACGATGGTCTCCTTAAGAAGTTTTGAATAAACACTCTGATTGGACAACGACTATTTCACACAGTTTCCATCTGTCTTCTACAAGCAGAATTAGGATTTTGATGAATACACCTAGTCAAATGGACGGTGACGTGATACAGAGATAAAATGTCAGGATTAAGATGTACCAGATGATCAGATTTACCATAAACACAGTTTACTTCACTGTTCTTCACTACGTTGGTTTTCATTACTGGTTTGTCAGAATTTAACTGGTGGTATCTCTATTCCGATTTATGTATTTCAACTTCATCCACACTGAAATCCAATGAGAATCGTCTAGATGAAATAGCTATTTGCATTGCTGACAATGAAGGAAGTGTGCATGTTTAAATCTGTTCAACACATACATTAGTGGTTACAAATGGATTAGTCTATAATTACAGAAAACTGTAAACACATATGAAAGAATTACACTTACTATAGAGTGATGCCGTCAGCAAAGTGCATGACTCGTCAATTATTATAAACATTGCATATTGTGTAATTGAACTCGTCTCATAGGCCAAAGGCTAATGGAATTCCAACGTTCCCATATCCAGAATCGGAGTACGCAATAGTCAGTGTAGTGGTTCCAATACTATTGTTGTATATGCTAACTGGTAATTTCAATATATATAGGCAGGTGAAAGACTATAACGGATCACGTTGAATCCAAATGAGTATGCCATCATTGTTTACATTTTGATGGAGTGTTAAGTACCATCTGAACTTGAGGTAATTTAACGTCGGTTATATATTTACTCTGAAGAAGTGACTTACATTAGGTCACAAACCGTGAGAAATACCATCCACCTGCTCATTGGGATATAACAAATAATATACGTGTTATCAAATCTCTACAAAATGCTCAATTTATTTGGAACTATCGAGTCCACCATTGGTATTTGTACCTCATACCTATTAAGGTTACATGTTTCTCTGCCGTCATTTCCCCTTTACACCATTCGATATCATGAGTTATTCAGAAATCTTTATCATAATTGAAAATAGAGCTGGTGACTCTAATATAATATAGCAAGCAGTAATTCTCACACCTATCCAATACACACTTTGGTGATCATGAATTACCCATCAGTCAGTCAATACGCGATAATACCGTGTGCATACCGTAATGCGTTGCATTCGGATTAGATCCTTGGACGCCTTCATGTGAACGCTACTCATCAATCTGTACAAACGAAACCGTTCAGTTCATCCTTATTTGTAAATCTTAACGTTGATTGTCACAATACTGCGAATGGAATGGAGGCGTCCACGCAAACCGTTAGATATCAGATAGGAATTCTAAAGGTTAATCGCTCTACACAAAATCTGATGGTCAAATGTTCGACCGTCGTTGAGTTATCCGATGCACTCAGTAGAGTCATATCATTGAACAAAACAGCAGTCCAACTCTTTCTCATTTTGAATGAATGATTAACTTAGGTCAGTCTGTGATGAAAAGTACAAGAAAGTAACGACTGCTTTCCTTATTATACTTGGATCCCATCACGATTATATATTTCTCTTTATTTGAAAACCGAACTTAAGAACCGCGATGGCGATCGAACGCTGTTATGTTATTGATACAACGGCACAGATAAATAGGTATCATTTCCAAGCTGTGATTTGATAATTTCGAATAAATTGAGGATTGAGTAGATTGTTACTAATGAATAATATCTTGATAATATTCTAATGAGTAAAAGAATTAGGTAATCTGACACTTATTGTAAGCCAGTTCATCAGAGAATGAATAACCTAATTCAAATTGGTGGAAGTTTAAATAGTACTTGGATTCATTTTAATTCGGTTATTTATTCTCTGAATAATTGGCTTACACTAAGCGTCAGAATATCTAATATTTTTCTACTGCTTGGAATATTACATATATATTATATAGTTGTGACACTGAAAAGTGTTTATCATAACTTACAGTATGACACTCATCGCTCATCAACGATACCACTCATAGGAATTGGCCACTGATTTGTCACCCAACAGTCTCAGTGTTTAGCTTTAATTGTAGGACCATCTCACACGATACTGATAACACACTTTCCAGTGAACTTCAATTATAAGGTCATTTTACCCTACAGATAAATAGCTTAGCTGAATCATAGTCTGTTTCATCTCAGAATGAAAATTGGAAATATCTCCGTTATCGTTGCAATATTTACAACTCTATTACTCAACACTTGCAAAGCTTTGAAAGAAAATTCATTAAAAACCACCATCAAATGGGGAGGTGATCTGGTCAATGTAACTATCTTCAACTTCACTGATTCTAACACCAACGCCTTTGATAATTGGATTGAGGTATCAGATGGAGGGAGATCTAAGGCTACACTAGTAAAACTTAAAGGGCAGGTAAATTTTATTTATACATATAATTCAGCCAACATCACGTTTAGAATTATCAATCAGGGATATTCTTCTATCTTCTCACTCCACGAGAAAATGGATCAAGCTTTGCTGGAGTTCATTGGATAGTGGCTGATGATGTTTTGCCATTATATGACGGTGTATTCATTGACTTACGTAGACAGGGTCCACATTCTCATTTCAAGTTGTTCTATGGCGAATGTTCGGATACGAGCAATTGTGCATCAAGCGAATCAGTCTTCCAGGTAATGTGATATTCAATTGTGTAAAGCAATTCAATATCTTCTCTTCGAAACTTTTATAGACGTCTGGAAAACGAGAACATGTCAAAATAGCATTCCGTAATTCTTCAGCATATCTTCATGGAACACCACTATCTAATTCAACGTTCTCAGGGTTAACTCAGAAGTCACATATCGGTATCAAAGTATATGGAGAAAGCAATGAGCCGGAAAACCAATTTGGTCCAGGTTCCATTGAAATTTTCACCATTTCAGCATACAAGGAAAGTCAAATGCTATCTTAAAGAAATCAAGATTATAGGGATTCAAGGCTACGTGATATGTAGTACTTATTGTTACTATGATTGTATTGTGTTTGTATTAAGTAGCTTTATCAATAAATGTCACACATCTACCAGAGAGTTTTGAATGTTTTCGTGGGTTTCTTGAAATTCACGTAAACATCAGTGAAGGCAAGCGGTGATGAGAGTCAGGTATGTGATCGCAAACAAATTCAAATGATTGAGAACAATGCTCTGTTACCTTATCTCTGATCTTCAAGTGTTCAACGCATATCGAAAAACGGTTTACTTCCAAGCTTCAAAACGATTGATAAAATTTAAAAACTCGAACTTCATTGAAAGGAATTCTTAACCACGAACTTATTATCGAGCTGTGCAGTCGTATATAGATACGAAAATCATTTGTTGTGATACACGTTCCGTGAGAACATACTAAATGTGAATAATCATGATTACGTAGTCGATTGACTACAATACTAGATTACGTTATACAAATATAAACAACAAACTTGAAACGGTGGTAAGGAACAGCGATGCGAATGTAGTAAGATTATTGTAATTTTGCTATCTGTTTAAGTATAATAAATTTACCCACATAAGTACGTTAAGTAAAATACATAAGGAGGCCATGAATGAACTCAATAATGACGAGGATTTGATTTTCACGGCAACTGAATATAGAACTGCAAGTTTCCAACTTAACGAATTTTATTTCATTGACAAAATGAGAAACATCTTGAATGATTATCAAAATCTTTAGATTTCTTGTGCTTCTTCCTAATGACCCGTCTTTTTACTTTGTAAATAGATCGTGTAGAAAAGCTGTTCTACCACTATTTTGTTTCTCACATGTGACTTTCATGTATGTGAGAAATTCAATGAATCGCTCAAATGCTTCCATCGAAACAGTAAGCTTATTACAAAACATAAACTTATGGTCCATAAATCGGCGACAAACTGAAAATGTGTCCGTCCTCTGGGTCAGTCGAACATTCTCTAATTTAGTTTAAAAAAATTTCAGAAGAAATCTGAGAATGGCGTGAAAACATCGCGACATTATCGTTCAGTCTATAGATTACACCACTGAATTCCAAATGTCCGTCAATAGTATATTTCTGTAATAAATCACTGATGATGTCCACAGAGTTTGAAGTCTCTATTTTTTGTGATGTATGTTTTTCACAATAGTAGTACACAGTCTCTTTTAATAGGATATTTGTGAATAATCACTTTAGTGTTTATGATCTTGCGAACGAACTGTCTTGCGTCCTTAATACCAGGCTTCATTACGTGGTTTTGGAGCGGTTTTGAAATCTTTACTCATCACTTTGCTACAGAATAAGTACTTATCTACCAAATTGCCTTGTGTATGTTTGGTGGACCCACCCGTTGATTTGTGAGCTATATCAGCTAGCAGGTTGATTCATTTTCGTTGTCATGTTTGTCAACCTTTTACACTGTCATGTTTTGAAAGTTTTGCTGATCATTCAAGATGTAATTTATCTTGTCATTGTAGTCACTTTTGTCAAGTTGAACAGTTCCCCTTCTTTTGTCAGGTTTCGTAATAATCGAGTTCCCATCATTATTGCCCTCGTAGATATCTTCATTGTGTTTCTAATGTAAAAGTCTTCTCTCGTTATAACTACTTTTCATGAGCTAATAGCAACAGTTTGTTCACCTGACCACATTCACATAGTCATTCTTTATTATTTTTTTGAAATTTTTGGTATTATTCTTATAACGTCGAAGTTCAGGAGAATGATAGTAGTTTATTATATCACATATATGAAAAAGATTTCGAAGTAGCTAAGAATGAACACAAAATCTATTTCACACTTACTTAACTATCGAAAACAGCTATACTGATGTTAATATATCTACCTGGCGATTAGATTTCTCGGAAGTGGCAAACAATTTTTGAATAGTTGACTCAATGAATGATCTTCAATTTAACACCATTGTTTGGTCTGTCGAAGCGTCCGAATCACCTATTTAAGGTACGCTCATAATCGATGTTCCAAATGAAAGAAATTGTGGTACTATACTGAATGATGAACAAAAATAAGAAACAATCCTCAGCTTGTTCAGTTTTCTGTTGTATATACCGAATGTTTTTATGCCGAAATAAAAAAGCAGAATTTGAAAAAAGACCAAATAATATAGAGACTGATGCGCTTAAACAAGGGTTAAACGAATGCAGTCAAATGTGAATAACTGATACATTAGTTGTGTTATCTTGAGTATAATGATGAAATCATTGAATGTTTTAAATATATGTATAACTATTTCAAAATTTCGCACAATGAACTTGCGTTCCTAAATAACAAGAGAAAGTATAAGACAATAAAAAAAAGTCAAGAGGAAGTGACCAAGGAGAGACAAAGTAAAACAGAATTACCAAACATTCTATACGTTAGTTTACTATAAAAACTATGTGACGTGTGCGTCCAGTCAATTCTGAAACAAATTACTGAACATTTTACAGGCAAAGTATTGGTGTGTGATACTTCTACTTCATCAAAAAACTCTGTAATATAACCGGTTATCCTCACTTGTATTGTCCTTCACAACATTTTGAACGTATTTCTTTCTGCTTAAACAAGCTTTTCGAGGACAGTTTCACCACCATTTGGCCTGTGTGAATAAGCAAGCACCAGGCACATCTAGAGAATGTTATCTGTTAATGTTACATCAAATGGCTAATATTACATAACTTTGTACAATTTCATATCTGACATTTATAATCCACTGAAATACACGGCTCAGTATCCACACTAAATATTTAATTACTAAACACGCAAATCGGTAGTATCTTGTACATAGTCACATGGGAATCATCCATTGACGAGTTTATGTACTGGTGAATTGTCATAACCCGAGATAGAATCAATGTGTGATTCTCATCAGTAGGGTTAATGTATTACAACATTCTAAGTAGTATTATAAGCAAAGATGGATAGTGGCTAGCAGTGGAATCCAGGACGCGCGTTTCGTCCTGTTTGGGACTCGTCAGCTGGATGTACCTGCACCTCAGATTTGATGGGAATTAAACATGAACCCATTGCACAAACAAGTGGCTATCAGGACTCAGTAGCTAAGTGGATAACGCGATGGCGTTTGAAGCGAATGGTACTGATTTCGAGTCCCAGAGTGAACATGAACTCTGAGATGCAGGTACATCCAGCTGACGAGTCCCAAACAGGACGAAACGCGCGTCCTGGATTCCACTGCTAGCCACTATCCATCTTTGCTTATAATGCTTGTAAATTAAGGCAATATCGAGGCATACGCACAGTACGCACATATGCCAATAAGAGACTGATCAATTTCAGTCCAAAAACATCAATGGGAAGATTCAAGTAAAACAATATCAAGTGAGTTCTAAGTAGTAAGTAGATTTACCACTGGGTTTCATAAGGATTACAAATTCTTGACTACTTAAATAGTCAAACGACCATGGCACACTATCACCGAATATCTGGAAGCCTTGGGGTGTTGTTTTGATTCCCGTATGAGACGAAACATCGTTGTGTACACATTATCACGCACCAAGTGACCCAATTCAATTCAATATGAAAGATTATACTGTAGATATCCAGGTAGGCATTTAGGCATGTTATTACATACCTTTGAAAGTGTTAATAGTGGTATATAATAATCATAAATGATTCGATCAATTTACTTTTACCTTCAATATTTACGTTTATACCTTCAAAAGTGCATTTTACAGAGGAAAATATGGCATAAATATACTTCAATAACATACAACGATCTTTTGTGATAGAGATTAATGCAATACCCAGTAGTTAGCTTCAAAGTATCTGTGTGAAATTCTTGATCAATGGTTGTAGATCATAGTGGGCAGAGCTCATAACTGAAAAATAACTATCCACCTTTTCATGTTAAGCTTTCATATTTTCTATACGCATAACTTGGTGTCTTGCACTTGTTAATGTAAAATACTTTAAGCATTTGAATATTTTTTCTTTAAGTCAAAAGTATAGCGATCATTTTGATATATTTATGACATTTTTGTACATGTGACATTGTAGACAACGAAAAACGTATCTCATATAATTTTAATTGTCAACTGATAGCATTCGAAGAAAATCCTGGATAAACAGTCTAGATCGTAATCATACGAACTATCATACGTAATTGAATTTCAAGTTTTCATACAATGAAAAATCAATTTTAATACTCTGTCAACAATATCAAACGTGGGTCTATAAGTATAGGCTGATAAGAAACTATGTCGTTTTACAATTCATTTTATTGAGTGATTGTAAATCGAAGCTTTGATTATTACTATATTATTACAATGGAATTGGTAGTGGTAATAATAAAACAAAAGGAAAATGACTGCTCACATGTGTTTATGACAAGACGATTATGTAGCGGATGCACACCATCACTTCACTTAATATCATGATCACCGTTGGATGCCAAGCGATTCAGCAGTCTTCAGTTTTTGCATTCGCGCTCGCGCGAGACTTAATGTCTTGAATTGAAGTTCGTCGTGGTGGGTCGTAAGCACACACTGCTGAGGTGTGTTATACTAGAGTAAGACAGCCGTCCAGTGCTTCCAGGTATAATTTTTCAGTAATAACAACAGATAAATATAAGAAAACGTTATGGTTGACAAACTGTATTAGTTTAGTGAAACAAACGTCATCAATATTTAGAGACGTTCACCACTGGTATAGGATGATGGTGGTGCAA